TTTGAGTTTCAACGTGATACCAAGCTTGCGGATGATCTCCCGCTATTCGGAGCAGCCACCGCAGCTGGAATCTCTTGCCTCGAAATTCCCATGCATTACCGCGGCTAGAATTCGACTTTTCGTCCAATCTCCACTCAATAAACGCCTGCACACTCGACAACATTGTTGCGGAAACATTGTACCCGTAGCATTGGCGCCGTCTGCGTGGCCAAGGACGACGGCGCGCAATAGCGAGGCGATGGAGGCCACTTTACCCCTGAGCCAATCCAGCTACAAACACGTGGGTCGGCTAGCGAAACGCCGCAAGCAGCACCGGGCGCACCTCCCTCCGAACATCACGCGCGAAAGTATCGCGTCCTCCGTCGCCATTGACTTTGCTTATTGTTCCGCCTCGCGTCCATCGCCGTCACGACGCATTGGCTTGCAGCGTCCAACAGCAAGATCTGCACCGCGCCATTGCCCCTCTATAGTTAGTAGCGTCTCCGTCATTCGCGGACCGTCGCGAGCAAGCCAAGCGAAAAGACAACTGTACAACGCCTCTGGGATTCCTTCTGAGATGATAGACAACAGCAAGCGCTGTAGCCTGCAGGGAAGCGCTGCGGCGATCGCCCCAGGCGCACCGTTCCGCGAGAATGCGAGTCGTACATCTGCCGTCGACTGAATCCAGGCACCTAGCTACCCGTTTCGGGACTACAGAGAGGCGCGATTAGGTTTGTAGCACGACAAGGCACCCGTTATTGGTAATTGAACCATGGCTCCTAGCGGTAAGCAAGGCGAAATGGCACGACAACCGCGACGAGAATGACTTGATTCGTGGGCGCGCCACGATTTCAGCTCCTCCAATTTGGCAAAAAGAAGGGGAAAGGTGGGGAGCGTACTTGTCAAGCTCCTGTCGCTCTTGTAGCTTTCTTCTGCGGTGGGTACCCGGATGCTTTTCTTTACCCTGCATATTTTCTTTTGTCGCTATCCTGAACCCTTGATTGTCTGCTTTATCAGGCCTTGATGTAAGGTTCGCGAGCATGAAATCTAAGTCTTGCGGTTGCCTTACTAGCAGATACTCAAGCGACATGGAGCCCCCAATTCCCCGCAATATCGACCTTGATCTGGATCGGGACACAACGAGACCGACTGCGTTGAAACGAAAGGGTTCAACACTACAAACTTCGGTGGAGGTTATGAGATGCAAGTTTGGGAAGCCAGCGGGGTCGCCGGAGGGTACTGGCGAGTTCAAACCATCGAAAGATTGGACACCGATCTATTATGCTGTCTATCACCAACGGGAGGCAGCGCTTTCACATTTCCTACGCGCTGGCGCAACACCGAATGATGTCGCTGGCTTGGGACTCCCACCGTTATGCATCGCCATCGCCAACGGCTACGCCAGTCTTGCGCGAATACTGTTAGATGCTGGTGCCGATGCTGATGCTGCGATCAAGACCAGCGGCGAAACAGCCCTCCACATAGCCGTCAAGAATGGCCGCAGCGATCTCATCGAACTTTTGATCCCATACGGACCCAATCTCGAGACGAAGACGAACGACACCGGCGAGACACCCCTCCACTACGCAGCGTCAAAGTCCGGATCGTTAGCCACAGTCATGACTTTGCTCAAACACGGCGCTAGCTACGAAGCGCTCAATGGCCTTAGTCAGACGCCAGCCGAAGCTGCTCTACATGCCAACAACATCCAGGGCGCCGTAGCGATCATCAACGCCGCACATGGCAAGCGCAACAAGCTCGAGAAAGAGAGGGAGATGCTGCTGAAGCACGTGAAGAAGACACAGGGCCGTTTCTCGGTAGGAAACGATCTCATTGCGGATATCTTCGCTGCGGCTTGCGATTCGGAGTCCAACGTCCTTGTGGAGGCCATCAAGAGAGATGACGCGAGCTTGGTGGAGATGTTTCTAGAGAAAGGCTCGGATCCGGATCGCGAGACCGCCAACGGCCTTCGTCCCATCTTCGTCGCATTGGAATGTGCCGGTGCGCCGGTAATAAGTGCACTACTGAAGCGCAACCCGGATCTCACCATCCGCGACAGAAAGGGCCTTACTGTACTCCAGGCCACCTTCGAGAGCCCACTAGCCCAAGAGAAGGAGACCATGTCTATCATTCTGGGTGCTCTGCTTGAGCAGGGCGCTGACGCAACAGTGACATACCCGGACGGCAAGACACTGCTTCATCATGCCGTATCTCCTCGTTTCAGCCATCCTAAAATTGCGCTTCAGCTCATCGACGCTGGCGCTGAGGTCAATGCGAGGGACCAAGACGGCGATACGCCTCTCCATCTCGCAACGCACAGTAGAGTCTGCACAGAGCTGTTGCTAAGACAAAAAGCAAACGCAGATCTTACTAATGCTGAAGAGCTTACGCCTTTGCTCAATGCTACAACGAACAGTACAAAAGACCAGGAGCCAGATCTGGAGTCGCTCATCAAGGCATCTGACCTCCGCAAGACCAACATGAACGGACAAACAGCGCTGCATCTTGCCGCATCCAATGGATTGGAGAGGACAGTACAGTCGTTACTACGAGCTCGCGCGAATACAGCCATCGGCGACAAGGTCAAGAACACGCCGCTTCTTCTCGCCGTAAAGCATCACCAATGGTCCATCGTACCACTGCTCACGATACCACCGAGCATCAACTCCTGGGATGAAGACGGCATGAGTCCTCTCCATCTCATTGCTTGCACCGTACCCAAAGCGCCGGCGACATGGAACGACATCGCCGCCATCGTTGGCCCCTTCTGCGAACGCGGCGTCAGCCGGACTACACGCGAGCGATCAGGTGCTACACCGCTCATCCTTGCCATCAAGACACTGCCGGAGGACGGCTTACCCGTGATCGAGGCCTTGCTAGCACAGAAGGCGGACCGCAAAGCGAGTCGGAACTGCGTCAACCACGAAGATCACAAGAAGCAAGATGCGCTGTTCTACGCGGTGACGACAGGCAAGCCTATCTTCGTGGATGCGCTGCTCAAGCATGGTGCCACATTCGACTTTGAAGACTGGGTGCCTGCCAAGAGCAAGTTGCAGCTTTCGGTGGAGGCCGATAAGCGAATTCTAAAGCTTTTTGCGCAGTACGAGTGGATGAAGCGCGCAGGGTTACTGCGAAGACGGCCTAGCAATCCTGTTGCGGAAGTCTCGTCTTTCTCAACGACGTTGCCTGTCAAGGACCTTGAGCAGATGGTCGCGATGGGTTTGGATGTGAATGCTTTACCGCGATCAGCATTGGGCGTCTCTTTGATATGCGCGGTCCTTCGCCACATTACTCTTCAACCGCCAATGCCCGCGGAATACGTCTTGAGCATACTCAATGTGGTTCTTGATGGAGGTGCGAACCCGAACGCGGGCATTCCTCGAAGCTCAATGCGTTCGTCGTCGCCACAGTCTGCGCCAGAGTCAACGCAGACCTCTGTTCTGACGCAGCATCCGCTCACATTCTTGCTTGAAGAGTGCCCGGAAGTCGCATTGGATGTCCTGATGCTGCTGGTAGTGAAGGGTGCGCAGCTTACTATCGCATCTCCGTTTTCCAACGGCCGCTTACCACTTCACTCGGCGGTTGTGGCGCATCGCTTTGATGTGGTGCAAGAGTTCCTGCTGCACGGGGCGGACGTGAACAGTCTCGATAACAAGGGACGAACACCACTCTTCATGGCCGCTGAAGGTGGGGATTGGGAGATCTTGAACTTGTTGCTTCGGAGCGGCGCCCGCATGGACACGCTCGATGTAGAGAACAACACACCCTTGCACGCCGCAGCTGTCGGTGGCAATGACAAGATTGCCTCCTCCCTCCTCCTTGAAGGCGCCAAAGCAAATGTAAAGAACGTGGCAGGCCTAACACCCATGGCATGTGTAGGCGACAACTATTCCGAGGAAGGTCGGAGCCTAATCGTAGCCATGCTCAAAGAAGCCGAAGAGAAGGAGCAAAAAGACGAACAAGACCAACGGAACCGCATCGAAGCAACCGCCGCGCACGAAGCCAAGGTCCAGCAGCTAAAAGATGACGAAGCGAAAGCAAAGCTCCAACAAGAGCAAGACGCGCTCCTCCGCATCCAAAAAGCCAACGAAGAAGCCGCAGCCCAACGTCTACCCCAGCAACAACACCAACAGTCCCTGCCCGCCCCAATGCCCACATCACCACCACAACCCACAACTCGCAAACCCTCCTTCCTCTCCCGAAAGACCTCCCTCTTCTTCAACAAGTCCAAAGCTGCGACCCCACAACTCCCTTCAGATACCCTCCCCAAACCAAAACAAGCATCCCTCCTCCGCCTCCGCATTAACACACCACACACCAAGTCCCAACCTCACCCAAACTCCGACCTCACGCCACCCCCCGTCATCCCCAACCGCGCCGCCATTCCCTCCCCCCACATCCTCGCCAGCCCCGACTTCTTCAGCACAGAATTCAACAACATGATGGACCCAACACGGCCTGTTATCGCGTTGCCGGCGGCGATACAGCGGCGCACGACTGCGGCGAGAGTAGATAGTGGGTTGAGTGAGAAGCGGGGAAGTAGGAGTAGTAGTGGTGTGATGGGGATTTTAGATTTGGAGATTTTGAATGAGAAGTTAAGTAGTCCGAAGGTGGTTCAGAGGGAGAGTGGGGGGGAGTTGGCGGATTGGTTGGCGTTGACGAGGTTGATGGATGGGTTGTGAGAGGTTGAACGTCTCTTTTCTTGAGATTTCACGACTTCTCTTTTTGTTTATACCAGATCTTCTTCTTTTTTGCTTCTTCGAGATTTCATAGCTTTCACGTTGGCGATATCCTTGCGGCATATCTTGGAGTGCGCTTTCCTTTGTAGTAGTGGTACTTGCCTGGAGGTATACGATGCTAGGATGTACATGTTGATACCCGGACTTTTGATTCTGTACAATACACTTGTTGACCAACTGTCCCAGTTGGTCGCCCTGTTGCAATTCAAGTGCGTACATCAATTGCTATCGAATCCACCCCGTATCCCAAGCGTTTGAACCTCATCTACGTATGCCGTGCTCTCATCCTTCAACTTCCTCTTCCTCATCGTCATCATCATCCTCTTCCCAATCAAACGCACCCTCCTCATCGCTGTCCTCCAACAACCGATCAACTATATCATCCTGATTTTTCCACACCCGCTTCACAAGATCGAAAACCCAATCCGGTCTAACCTCCACCTTCTCCGCGGCCTTCTTAAACCGCTCCTGAACACACACCAACCCATTCTCCACGTCGTCATACGACGGTACCTTAGTCCTAACCATCCCGAGAACATCATCCTCAATCACGATATCCAACGTCTCGAGCTGAGCCTTTGCGATGTCGCGGAAGAAGTTATTCCAGTTGCCACAAAAAGCGTTGACAATAGTCAGGTGTTTGAGACTCTGGTGGAAGTGGTTCAAACAGTCTGGGTGCCGTAGAAGAGCATCCGCCGAAGCTTCAAATCGTGGGTCGTATCGAATGGTTAGGGACTCAAGTTCTGCTGCCTTCCAGCCGTGGGTGGCTGGACCCGGATTGTTCACAGATCTGACCTGGCCAAAATATAAAGTCAGGTCTCGTAGGCTGGGGAAGCTATCATTTGTTAAGAGTATCTCGGTGTCAACCGGTGGGGGGGTCTCTCGAGAATAGACATTTGTCAAGGTGAGTCTGTCGTCGTTACTACTCCCAACACGAAGGAATCTCAACGATAGGTGGTTGAGACATAGCTTGTTTGTTTGTGTGAGAACCTCGCTCAAGACGTATTTCGAAACGGAGGTCTTGAAGGATTGGAATCCAATAGAAGGTACTGGCATTGCGAAGTTGGTTGGGTGGATTTCGGCTCGCTGTAGAGCTCGAAGTGCAACGTCAAGGCCGATCATCATCCCGCTGTATGCGATGGCCTCCGAGCTTGCGTCTCGCTTTGAGCCCCTGGCATATGGGCTCCTACATCCCTGTAAGCGGCCGTGCTCTTCACCAACTTCCTTGAAAAGCGTTTCGTAACGGCTCCAGGCATCGATCTCGGGTTCGACGAAGGCGAAAGTATGTAATTGCTTGAATGGAGCCAAGCTTTTCGCGATGGTGGTTATCAGCCCCTCTTTCGCTAAGACGTATTCGGCGACGGCATCATAATGCGCCCCATATAATCTGGGGTGTACGATGGAAGAGTACCATACTTTGCCGAAGATGGACTTATTTTCCTCTTTCAACTTTTCCCAGCGCGACTCCAGATCAGGTAGAACTATTGTTCTCAACCAACCCACATTCATCTCTGAAGAGGACTCGGGAAAGAGATTTTGTGCGTAGTTCCTACTTCCAGCTACCCTGTCGTTTTCCAACTCTTCTGAAAGCGTTGAAGCGTGCGCGAACCTTTCCAACAGGGCGGTTCTGCGTTGCATCCGGAATCTGTCCTGAGCTGATACCGTACGTTCCGTGACTTCTTTGACTGCATTATTATGTCGATGGTTTGCTTCGTCTCTGAGAGCGACAGGATTCTCGTGATATTCCTCATAACAACAAGTCATACGCAGGGATTTGATCGCCTGGGCTAAGGCATCCACCTTGCTGATTTCACTCAACGAACGAAGATCATGGGGACTACGAATATCCCAAGCCTATGGTAAGGTATCAATGTCAGCTGTGCCGATCGTACTAGACGACGTCCCGCTCCCGGTGCAACTTGTCCTTGCATCGAAGCTGATGATGTACATACCTTTGCTTGAAGAGACTCGACGAGGTGTGATTGGGCACATGCTTTGAATCGCTTGTTTACCAGTCGCATCACCGCCATTGGCGTGCCACCAGCGACCACCAAGTCTGTAATGAGGTTTAGTAGCTCGTTCGGTAGACTGCCGAGTTGCGCTTTGTCATCGCCGATATCTGCCATAACCGCGTCTGTAGATGCGGCCATTGTCGGTCCTGTAATGCTCTTTATGCCCTAAGGATATTAAGTATGAGGGCGAAAAGTGAAAGTTGACATTAAAGACGGTAGCGAAGTATGTGGCACAGTACCTCCGTAGTAGTGGGGCCGTCTAGCGTGGTGCTAGCAGTCACGAGCAGACCCTAGTACCGAATCCTTAGGGCCTTCGCGTGCCATCGTTCAGTACATCAGCGAGTAACGATGCTTGATACCTTTATTAGTCGTTTGAACACATATAGTGCATCGCAGTCACGGTAAAGTATATATTCATATCAATTCGTTGTCCCATATCATGGCTGCATGATACAGAGGGGACCCCACACTTTCGTAAATGCTCAATACGCCTACAATGCCCAAATAGATACACGCCCAGTAAATAAATCTCTACATATCTCATACGCTCAAGGCAGAAGGAGCTGTCATCTCTTGTGGTGTAATGCTCACAATCGTTTCTGGCTCGACTTCAGGCACCTTAACGCGCTTGGCCTCAGGCTCGTCATCATCCCGTTCCTTGCGCTTCTCCTTCCGCTCGACAGCATCGCTTTCTGGAATAGCCGCTTCCTTAACCCGAGCGCGCTTAGAAGCGCGTGATTCGTTTTGCGGGATGCCCAGATGCTCGTCAACAACGTTGGCCTGCTGTAGCAAGTCGTCAACGTTCTCCAGGCCCAGCGCCTTGATGCAATCCGTGTAGCACTTTGACTTGTTCATCGCCTGATACGCTTTCTCCTTCCCTGGTATCATCTGACTGAGCAGATACTTTGTATTCCCCCACCGGTTCTCTACTTGTAGCGCGAAACGCATGTATTCGGTAACAACGGTCTTCCACTGCGATTTCCACTCGTGTGGCCCGCCTTCTGGGTCGGGTCGGAACACGCTGGGGTTCTTCTCGGCTGCGGTCGCGATCATTGCGCCGTCGACGTTGAACTCTTCCGCGAGCTTGAGGGCTTCGGTGCGCGATGTGACGTCGCCGTTCATCAGGCATGCGACGCCTGCTTCGTGACATATCTCTCCAATCATCTTGAGTTGGTCTCGAATCGCGCGCTCTCTGGGTCGCATGGGTGTGGTTCGACAGTGCACTGTGAGGCCCGTGATGCCGGTGCGCACCAGTCTCTTCACCAATGCCGCTGTCTCTTCTGGCGTGTCCAGGATTCTGATCTTGACGCTGATGCCGATCTCGAATGGCTTTCCCACTTCTTCCACGAGACTCGTCAAGATGTTACAAAGCAGGTCTGGGGTCTTCAGCAGCGCTGCGCCCATGCCGCCGGAAGTCGAGAATGGCTTGGGGCAGCCGGAGTTGACATCAATGCCTGCAACATCCGCTGCGACCATCTTGGCTGCCTGAACTGCCAACTCCGGATTCGCCGTACCGATCTGATATATGAGCTTTCTCTTCTCCAGCTCAGGATGTATGCGGTATAGGACGCTTTCGCGATTCTCGGGATCGAGGCTGGGGTTTTTGATCTTCGAAGTCGGCAGACGCGAGAACTCCAGTGTATTCGTGTGCGGGTTCAGTCGCTTCGTGGTGCCAATCATGGCGCGATCGATGGTTTCGGGTCCCCAGACCAAGTCGGCGCCGTACTTCAGCGCGAGGAGGCGTGAGGGCAATTCGCCGGAGCGCACCATGGGCGCAAGCACCACTTTGCCACGGTAGTCAACGCCATTCTTGGGGATGGGAACGCGGGCGGGCTCGTTGGATGCCATGGCTCGTGTTATCGATCGTGATAGGGTTCGAAGCATAACATGCCTTCACAGGAAGAGGGCGGAGGATTGGGATGTGAGTGGGGAGGGAGATCGTAGCGCCATCTGAAAGTTTAGCGCACGTGCCTTGACTGGTGGGGTTAGCGCGGGGGCGTCACTGCAGGTACCGTTCGGCAGAAGTACAATCACCTCTCCTACTACACACGCTTCACTACTGATAGCACTTCCGTAAGAGATGGTAAGTATTTATAGTCGGGTTTAGGGTATGAGAATTTCCGCTCGAGTTCTGTCCGTTTAGACATTCTTTCCAGCAATGGACTATCAAAGCTTTGATCACATGAAATGTCCTTGATCTAGCTATACGAATATGAAGTCTCTTCCTTCTACATTCCTCTCTTCTGTCCTCTTGCTTAGTTCTTCATCAGATTCTCTGAGTGTCCGCTTCATGTCTTCTCCCTCATCTTCTTCCTCGTCGGTGTCTTCATCGTCTATGTACTTTTTATACGTCAGATATTCCGATCCTGGAGGGCTCCGCGGCTCGTCTTCATGCACAGTTTCAGGCAGATATGCCTCACCCACGAATTTCCATGTCTCTGGTTCGTTCGTTCTGAGAGCAATGTTCCTTCTGATGACGTGTAGTATTGGCGCTCCATTTAGTGCGACTAGCACGTCACCTGGTCTTACACCCTGCGTCGTCAAGCTGAAATGGCCTTCTCTAGTTTTGAAGAACTGCTTTTGAGAGACCTCGCACATGGCCGCCAAGAATTTGTACGCATTCTTATGTTGGTGCTCTGTACTGGGAATCTCTTCGGAATCCTCCACGAGAGTGTGTGAAAGCGCACTTGTAATGGCTGTGTCCTTTCTGCAGAGCATGAATATATCGACTGATATTAGAGGCGATGGCCTACCTTTCAGTGTTTGTACCAGTAGGGACTCTCTTCAGCTGTCGTCCCAACGCCCGAAAGTCAAGATACCAATCTTGCGTTATCGTCTCGTTCCGGTAGCACTCTTGTCGATCGACCAGCATACGCCAGTATTCTTCGAGGGTTTCTTGGCCTCTGACTTCTACTTTTGGCCATCTTTCATCACTTATGCATGTGCGCCCCAGCGTATCATGAGCGAGCGTCTCTTCCCACATAGCGGTATCTCTCAGGTATTCTCTCTCTTCAGACCCGGGCTTATATGACAGATGCAATGTCGGGCTAGGAGAAGGCATCATCGCGAATACCTTCACGACATCATCGAGTACCTTCCCTGTCAATACTAGCTGCTCTAGTTTGGAGCCGCCTAGCGATCGGTGGTATCTGCTGACACGTGCGTACCGAGACGTTCTGCTGTGGCTGAGGTCCATATGCCGATGCAAATGCTCCGAGTCATGGAAATCTGGTACCCACGACGGTAGATGTTTGCGCCTATCAAATCTGAATGCAAAGCTGAACCATCCCCATATCAGAGTGCTTCCGTGCTTCCAAGACGTCTCCAGTATGAATTTGGTAAATCGGGTGAACAAGTCTTCTACCGAAACGTACGCGATTTCTGGATCGAGGTATGTACCTTTCAAATATTTCGGATCAACCATTCCTAACAAGCCCAGAATGCGATCCTCAGGCCTGAGATACTGTTGTCGTTGGGTGGTCAATATGGCGAGTGCTAAAACGATGGCCTGGCAGCTGTCTGCAGCAGGCCCTTCGCAGTTCCAAGCCATATGCACCACAGCTCGTAGATGGAATACCGTCCCATTATGTCGTGTTGCTCTCGTTTCAACGCATGCAAGTCCATCGGATAGATGTAACAAATGCTCATATGTGGGAAGATCATTCTTGAGGGCCCAAAAGAGCCGCCCGTCCTTGATGGACGTCCTCATAAGTTTCCAGCTCATCTTACTGTCCCCGCAAAGAAAACTAATCTTTCGCGCCAAAGTCGCTTCTTGTACAATCCACAGCCTTCCAAACCAGGCATTGGAAATGAGATGATGAAGCGCGGGTTTCAACGAAACATCTAAGCTGTCGAAGTTCTTCTGTACCAGTTCATCAATATATTTTTCTGGTGTGCTGTGCCTTTCATCAGAAAGACGTCGGAGAAATTGAATAGCTTCGGGAATGTATTCTTGATGCGCTGTAGATCCAAGCCATACCCAGACTTTCTTCGCTTGTCTATACACCCGGTTCATTTCCCGAATCTGCACCATCTTCTCCTCATGGTCTGCCTGATTGATACAGATGGCGTCGATCCAGATCGGCCGCACTGTCCCAGCATCTCCGCGGCGAGCAAGGTACGGTAAGGCAGTGGATAGATTGCGGTGCACTTGCGCAACGCAGCCATTCATAGTGATGTTGAGAATTTCTGACGCAGAGCCCCACACGTAAGAAAGCGCATCGAATTCCAAATTGGACTGGTCGAGGCTAACTGTTTGTATTCTCCACGTGTGGTCATCGGCGGTTTCGCTGGAGGCGGGAGTGAGCAGACGGATGTCGCCTGCGGACAACGCGTCGTAAACGAAAGGTGGAGGATCTACCATGCTAGATATGGGAAGAGACAGATGAAGCGTTGCGTTGGAAACTGAGCATCTGGTGCGGGGCGCGACTTCCGCATCTTGGAAAGTGTGGCACAGTCAAGAGCATATTGACTAAGCTCGATCGAGATTAGGCTATTCACAGCGGCGGTAAGTATGCGCACTGTTTGCACAGACATCTGATTCGTTCAATAGTAGTATTTACGACACCCAGATCGCTCCTAGCACGTTCACCAAGGAAAAACGAAACAGGCCTGCAGCCTACATCAACATGAAAGCATACAAGACATGTGAGCTGGTGGTAATGTAGGCTCTAGACCTGTTCATCTTTTTTCTTGCCGGTAAGTTCGTCCTCTGCCCAACTTCTGGCGAGCGCATCCATACTTTTTGGTGGATCGACGGTAACGGTCTTTGCGGCACCATAAAAGAGTGCTTTCGGAACGTCTGTGATGAGCACAACCTCATGCGGGCCGTCGCCATAACCATCAGTAATTTCCAAGCGCTCGAGATTGAGATCTCGACAAAGCTCAAATACCGACTTGTATTTGTCGATGTACATGTCCACGAACGTCATTTGGCGAAGGGTTTCTCTAAACAGCGCGATGAAATTGAGTAGCCTCGGGTGGTCGACTTTGGTGTCTCTGAATACGAGATTCGCAACAGTGGGTACGTCCATGGCTGATGGAAGCGGTCTGCCGCCGAGGGTACTCTGGTGAATGGAGCCGTCCAGAACGAGCGTATGTAATGCTGGAAAGGTGTCTCTCGTGATGGCCACGGTCGACAGTGCTTCGGTTGGATCTTGCTGAGACCCACCCTCACCAAACTCATCTCGGAGAATCAGGACCTCGACTTCGCTCGAGACCTTTTTGATGACTTGTATCGTAGCTTGTATTGTGAAGCAATGTAATCCGTTCATCTCCGTAACGAGTTCGAGTCTCTTGGGAAGAACGATAGATTGCGCTAGGGCGCTGAGGAGGAGGTCTTGACCTATCTGAATGCCTGAGTGCTCATATATATACCAAAATATGTCGACGTCCTTGATCATTGCCATTTCTCGAAAGACTTCGGTGAATCTGCCCGCGACTCTCCTGGCGCAGTAATGGATGTTGACGATATTCGGTAAAGCTTCCAGACACGATAGAACGAGTTGCCAAAGCTGACTGCTCCTGACAACATCCTGGAGTGTACGTGCAGTACTGCTGTGATAGTCATCGGAAGACAACCATAGCTCCGGGTACCAATCGAGCTCGCTCTTGATGATAGCTTGAGTCCTATTCAAAAGACCAGCTTCGAATACGTCTTCATGCTTATAAACTCCACCAGTTTCCACGTTACCAACCTCTGGCAGGAGGTGCTCGGTGTAGCGAGAAGTGACGGTCAGTTTTCGAGCCCACGGGGTCAAATCCTTGCAATTCGCTAAGGCCACGAGGTTTTCCATGCTCTGCTTCGAGCATAGGTCGAAGGTGGTCTCGTCGGTTACTTTGGCAAGAGCCCGCCACGCGTGGTTGTAAATGGTGCGGCTCACGTATCTAAGCGCGAGTTTGGAAGCGCGGGGTTGCCCGCTGCGCGTTTCTTGCATACATCGTCTGTTGAGAGATACCGTTGTTTCCGTCAGTGCGGGTTGCACTTCGCGTACCGCTTCGAGCAGGATCCTTTCGAGGAGTTCAGCTGGTAGTGACTCCAGCCGGCTCGTTGCCTCTGCGTAGCGAGGAGTCGACATGGTTGCGGCCATTGAAGCTGGTGTCAGTTGCGAGGTCATGTAGCTGTCAGGGCGGGAGGTGAGCTTATTCAGTGTGCTGAGTGTCGAGTGTAGCTCAACTGTCGAGATCGCGCGCCTGAGGGAGGCGGCTACGTCAGGTGTGACCGTGCGCCTCCGCGGTGGAAGGAGCACCTCGTCGCACAGGCTCACCAAGATCACGCATAGAGTTAACACATTCAGCAGAAAGTCGATCGATGATCAATTACACCTCTACAACCTCGCCTTGACTGCCTCAGGATCTGCGACCTGTACCATGATTTTGCCTGCAGTGGTTAGAAACTTGACTCTACAATGCTGATTGGACGGGCTTACCGGTGTTCTTTCCCTCGAACAGTCCCACTAGCGCGTCCTCGGCCTTGTTGATGCCTCCTTGGATGATTGTCTCTTTCCTCTTCAGCTTGCCTTCTGAGAGCCACTGCGCGAGCTGCTTCCTGGCTTCGGCGTACTTGTCCGCGAAGTCAAAGACGACGAAACCTTGCATACGAATGCGCATTGAGATGATCATCATGTAGTTCTATGAATGGATTAGTAGGTTGATGCATAGACTTAGTGACCGAACACAGCATACCTTTGGTCCTTGCGGCTTCTTTTTGTTGTACTCCGAGATCGCCCCGCACATGACGAAGCGCGCGAAAGGCTTCGCTCGAGAGAGCGCAAGGTCAAGGATCTCTCCGCCTACATTGTCGAAGTACACGTCGATTAGACCCTTGGTTGCAGCCCTGAACTTCTTTGCAAACTCCGGGTCCTTGTAGTTCAGCGCCTCGTCAAAGCCGAGTTCCTCCTTCAACCATGACACTTTGCTGTCCTCACCAGCGAGACCCAAAACCTTGGCGCCCTTCAGCTTCGCGATTTGACCGACCACACTTCCAGTAGCGCCAGCTGCACCGCTGACGACTACAAAGTCTCCAGCTTTGACCTGGCCAATTTCTAGGAGTCCAAAGTAGGCGGTAAGGCCGGTCATTCCCAATACGCCCAGCGCATCGGTTGGTACAGCCCCCTCCGGCAGATCCAACGACTCAACATGCTTCTCATTCAGCACCGAGTACTCGGACCATCCGCACATACCAGTCGCGTAGGTACCGACGGGGAATTTCTTGCTCTTACTCGCAACGATAAGGCCAATACCGCTACCACGCATGACGGCACCAATCTCAACCGGGGGAATGTAAGAACGCGTTGGGTTCAGCCAGCCGCGCATAGCCGGGTCAAGTGATAGGTAGAGTGTCTGGAAAAGTACCTCGCCATCTTTTAGTGACGATGCCGATGGAACTTCTTGCTGCTTTGGTGTGAAGGTTTTGCCGGCGACAACAGCGTCCACTGGCCGTTCGGCAAGGTGGATCGATGTATATGAAGGCATGATGATGGAGTTGATGAATTGATGGCACGCTTCGGAATGCTTTGGCTGACTTTCGCGGTAGTGATTTGGGGAACGAGACGAGAAAGCAAGGTTCTTTTGAATGGAGATGGATGGTATAGGAAGTCAAAAGTAAAGACAGCTCGGTCGCGTTTGTAGTTCGTGTCCGCACAGATCCTCCACAGGTGTTCTGCGGAGAAGATACCGAGGCTCGGGTGGTCGTTTCCCGATTAGGACCGCTACATAATTCAAGGGCCGAACAAAGGAATCTCAACGGCCGTAAGAGTTACTAATCTTCAGTACGCAACGACCGATTGCGTGTGTTTTCAGAGCTGACAATCTCAAACTTCCAGGTATATCTCGAGATGCTCCATAATTTGGGTAGAGCTCCATAATTTGGGTAGAACTCCACTAGAGTGTCGATGGCCTGCTTCTATGGGCGCATGTTCACGTCAACACGTGCATGAACTGGTCACCTTCTCAATATAATAATAAGTTGCGGAACAGAACTAT